AGATAAATAAAATGATTTGCCATTAACGATAATTCAAATTTTAAATCTATAATGTAAGTGATAATTTTTTATTTTTGAAAAATAAATTATTTCTCTTTATTTTTACTTCCTTGTACGAAGTAAAAAGGAAGTACTGTAATCGCGAAAAGTTTCAGGCAGCATATTTCAACGAAAATATCCATTTTGACCGCTATCGAATGAAATTTAACGATGTTTTTGCGTGATATCTGTACGTAAGGACAGAATAAAAGACTCGTTTCCTCCAAAAAATTATAAAACTGCTTTAAAATGAATTCTGAAGAGAATTTTTCGTGGCGTCTGTACGAACGTATGTACGTACGTATCTCGCATATCTCAAAAACGAGTAGCTTCAGAACGTTGAAATTTTGTATATAGGACTGCTATAACATGTAGATGTGCAACTCGTATTTTGGTTGCAATCGGCTTCACCAAACGTATATAAATATATTTATATATATATCCACTCTGTTACCCGGCTCAGTGATCTCAGATATAATTGTAAATTGTACATTTTTTGTTTTAAAAATAATTGAATTATGTTGTTTTTATCTTCCGGTTAAAGTTTTTATGCCTTTAGTAAATCTGTATGCAATATTTTTAGAATTATCAACAATTTTAAAGTTGTTTAAGTTCCGCTAGGCCTTTTTAGATGGCGGCCATTGATTGTTTACATTTGAAACAGCAGACTAGTGGATTTGTTGCCAATCTAGAGAAACTTAGCTTCGCAACAACGAAGATATCGCCTTCATTTATTATTGCGAATTACATCATGCTTAATCTTTTCTGGAATTTTTTCGAGGAAATTAGTGTTTCAGATTTACTTCGTAATTTGTAATATAGATATTTTGAGTTTTTATGTATTTTTGCCTTCTCGCGAAGTAAGAACTGTATTAATTGAATGAGAAATACTCAATCGTCTGTGAAAAACTGTTTCTTTTTTGTTTTGTTTGCTTAATTTCTTTTATACATCGTTCTAGCTTTATTATAGTATTTGAATAGAACATGTGGCAACGATTAGATAATTCCATTCTTTAAATCATATAAATTTTGTGCATTCTGAGTTATAATATGAACGAACGAAATATAATATTATTAAGTGAATCCATCGCCAGAGTGTCGCTAGGGTAAACAAATACTAGAGTGAATTTTAAAGAATGCATTTATTCTATTATGGTTTATGCGCTGTCGGCGAAGTGGATTTAATTCAATCCAATAAGTTTAAATGAAATGCAAGAAAAAATGCATATAATTTAACATTCCGTACAAGGAAGTCATGTGGTGTACACATCAGATTTTTTCTTCTTATACTAATCAATGTATAGCTTTTTAGGTATACTCAACTTAAAATTATCGAATACATAATAAATAAATCAATAAAAGAATTTGCCATTTATTATAAATGAAATTTTAATCCTAAAACATATAAGATAAGTTTTTATCTTTTTTAAAATACATTCTTTCGATTTTGTATTTTTTATTATCATCTATGTATAGTTTTCCAGGTACACTCGTCTTAAAATTACTAAATGGCATACTGAAAAAGAGTCATTTCAAGTTACCAATTACTTTCTTCTGCTTGATTCCGTCTTGCCATTTTATAGTTCAGATGTATCCTTTCCATTAGGGGTACGATATATGCTTTAAACAAAACGTTAAGCTATCATTTTGCTCTATAATTTGTGATTTTAAATAAGCGAAAACATTTTGGAAAGAGTTGATTTTTTATTTATGGTTACCAATCCTGTGAAAGGACATATGTTAAGTTTTACAGCATCCAAGTTTTCTCCATGTGTCTAGGAATTTAATTTAATCGAATAAAACAAGCATTACTACTTAAAATGAATAAACTCTTCGAAGTATGCTTGAACTAAGCTTCGAAGTATGCAGTGGCGTAGCTAGTGTGGGGCAAGGGGGGATATCTGTCCCCGGGCGCAGCATCCAGGGGGCGCCAAATTAATACTACGAAATCTTTTAAGGAAATGTTTTCCATTCATGGCACACAGAAAGGGGCGCAAATTCTTCAGTTGACCCCGGGCGCTGGAAACTCTAGCTACGCCCCTGGAAGTATGTTTGAACTTAATATCCTATCAAAATTAAACAAACAAAAAAAAAGAGTTGTTTATTGTTTCAAACCTATAATTTTGATATCCTAGCAAAATTAAACAAAAAAGAGGTATTTATTGTTTCAAACCTATAATTTTGATATCCTAGCAAAATTAAACATTCAACAAAAAAAAAAAAAAAAAAAAAAAAAAAAAAAAAAAAACTGATGTAGACACCACATGACTTCTTCAAACCGCATACTAAATTATCCACATTTTTTGCTGCATTTTGTTTAAACTTATTCCTCCTCCCATTCTTATTCAATTAACTGAGCCTTTACGACAAGTTGAAAATGACATCAAAAGTTGCAAATTTTAAAATTAAATATCTCACCAATTTTTGTCGTAGGTGAGTCTTATAATTTTAGGGTTTCATAACGATTTTTCATATGATACCTGAATTCTTTTGCAATTGCTGTACTTCCTGTAATTCGTACAAGGAATAAAAAAATTATTACACAAAGGAAATATTTTTTGCAATCTTCTTGTGCAAGTTATCTATTGAAATAAAGACCCAAATGTGTCTAGAATAATTCCCTTCTTTATTCAATAAAACCAAATGCCCATAGTATATAAAAAATAATATCATAGCAAATTTTTTCCTCCCATTTAGCTTTGCAATTTTGAACAACAAATTTTAAATATGAAATTTTACATTTTGCATTTCCATTTTCTGGGGATTGACTGTTGTAGACAAAACGCAGTTGCTTTGCTTTAGTTGTTAAACAGAAACCTGCATGTCAAAACCAGATTTTAGTTTAATTTTAAACTTAATATTTTTCAAGGTTTTTTAATTTTTTAAATTTTGAAGTTTTCATAGTAACTTTTTTGAGATGTTTAGATAGTAAACTAAAGTATCTTCAATGGGTTATCCTAATGCGTTAATTAATAATCCTAAGCTATCTATTTTTTAACTGATATACTTCTAAATGAAACTAAAATATTATTGAGTTGTCTGATAAATTTTTCTTATTACTACCTTCTTGAAGCATTAGCTATTGTTACAGCAATTGAGCACATTGCAAACAAGAACACTTACTGTTCTTTTGCAGTTTCAAACTATTCACAAACGTTAACTTTAATTTGCAAGATTGGCCAAGAATTATGGAACAGGACAAAGAATTAGCATTAATAATTGTTGCATAAAATATCATGCTGGAACATATGGCAAAGAGCTGGCAGACAATTCGTAAAAGGGGCTAGTAAAAATTATAATGTGGAATATGCTTCATTCCTTGACCTAGATCACATCTTAAAAAATAACTCTTTATATCTTTATATCAGTTTTAAAAATACGTTTCACTAAAAATGGAAAGAAGAACAGAATTTTTATAAGCAATGCAAGGCGCACTTATAACTACCTACCAACAGTTTATTTAAATTTAAAATTTCGATTCTGCTGTTATCAAGATACATAACAAGACGAGGTTGCTTCGCAGCGTTTTACTATGGCTATGGATTTACCAACACTGATCATTGCATCTGTGGGGTCATTGGATCTCCAGATAATCATATAATAGAATGTTCCTTAACGAAACAATACCAAATTAATTTTCCTGCTGCTAATGTGATTCCTTTCGAAAGATTCCTTATTAAGCAAAGATATCTTGTTCTTACAGTTTGTAAAATTATGAATCTACTTGCTGAACTGGGAAAAAATATTTGCCATCTTGTTTAAAAAATGAATATAAAAGTAGCATATTCAGTTCTTTAAAATTTTATTATTTTATTTATAAAATCGCACACGGTAACTTTATTTTATAAGCACAGGATATAAAGGCTGAGTTGAGATATTCGGATTAACTCGTATGAACGATTTTATAAATGTTTGATTGAACTTTACGGACTCAATGACTTGTTGCCTTTATGAAACTGATTTTTAATGCACCCGCATTTAATTTTTAGTTTTTCATTCTTCTTTCATATATATCGTATATGTTCAATACTAATACTTTTAAATTATATACTGTAATATAAAAAATGTAATTAAATATATCTAGTTAATGATGAATGAGGAACGATATCTGTTAACCACTGGTAAAGAGTGGTTATCCCCATTCATCGTCAACTGAACTGAATTGAATTGTGACTAGCTCCTTAGTAGTGTGACTTTTTTTTTAGTCCAAAGGGATTTGAATCCCGAAGGACTATTAGTTTCGTTTTGGCATTTTGCGTCGGACGGATAAATGTCGGTTCACTTTTCAAACTGTTGCCATAAAATGTTAGAGTCCTGCATTATATTTGAAGAAATTAAATAATGAAAATCTGCGTAAATGTATGTATATTTCTCACATTGTCATAAAATAACGGTACATAGAGTCATCGAATTTTGAATAACGTAATCCTCCAACGAATATGAGCATGTGGAAGACCAAATTTGAAATTTGAAATTTGTTTTATGATCGATTTCCTATTTTTTAAAACTTTGACGAATTTTTGATTAACAAACTCAAGGATTTCAAAGCGAGCAATGGCAACGTTGTGCAGAAAAAAAACATTTTTATCTCCAGCGCGTGAGTCTCTGTATCGGAAATTCTAAAGATATGCTCGTTTTAAAACTATTTTGCGATATTGCTGTTGCACTGGATCTTATGGTTTAAGTGCGAGGAACATGATATTTAATAAAGAAAGGTAACACACAAAATGTTAAAAAACGCCCCTTTGGACGTAATTTAAAATCTGAAACATTTCAGATTTTTTTTTATCTCAATTGCAAGATATTTAATTCTTTGGTAAGACGAAAAATTAACTGAATCTTAGTTATTTCAATTCTTTTCTCTAATGAGAGCTGGGATATGTTTTGTTTTAAAAGAAGGAATAAGTTTTTGTAAATGTTAAACAACTGAAAGTTGAAAGCTGTTATTAATCTCATTTTACCTCTGTCATAAGACTGATGGTTTCCAATTCTGCTAGTCTTCTACCAATGCAACTGCGAGTTCCAAAGCCGAAAGGAAGGAAGGCATATGGATGATGCTTGTCTTCTTTTTCTAGCCATCGTTCAGGAAGAAACTTTTCAGGATTTTTGAAATATCTTTCATCTCTGTAGATTTCTTGCAATATTACCGCGATAAGAGTCTGTAAAGAAAGGAATCTATTTTTTTACCATTGCCTTTCCTTTTAAACTTATTTATATCATTTTTCAAGTTATCAAGATAATAATCACTAATAATAACAAAGTTTTAATTTAATTAAAAGTAATTTGCTACATAAACCATAGTTTCCTCAGGTAAGCAATATACTATCAGTTGCCGAATGGTGTTGACTAAGTGTTATTTGAGTGGTTAGTGCTAGCTTCAAAAATGAATCGAATGAGGTAGTTAGTTCTTTTGGTCAAACAATTTTCCTCAAGTGATACCTTTATATTAAAATAGTACGGGACTTTTACGAAAACATGAGGGTCTTATGACACCCTCATGTTTCCCTATGGCAACCTCATGGGGCAGACATATAGTTGCTTACAAAACTGTTAGGTGTTTAGAATTTATGAATTTATGAAGATATGAAGATGCTGAAATTTAATACTCTGGAAGTTGCTTAAGAATAGGACCGTACTATGAAAGTTTGAGGCTCTAAGCACAGCATTCGTCAGAGGCCCTTAACACTCACTTTTCTTACTTTCCTTCTGGAAAATTAGATTTCTTAGAAACTGTGAAAAATTTAATAAAATTGCATGCTACATTAGACCCTATTTCACTTGCATAGCTAATCGAAATCCTAGGATACAACAATGATGAAATTTAAATTTTAATATAGTAGTTCATAGAATTTTGTTTGAAACTGGAAATACTTGTTGGTATAACAAAACTGTGAAACGAAAAAAAAAAAAAAAATTACCCCAGCAGGAACCTTATATCCGGACAGTACGACATCGTTCTCCAATTGTCGAACAGTGCCGCTGACTACAGGATCCATTCTAGAATGATACACAAAGTAAATGAAAAGTCCTTATTTCTTTGAAGATATTTAATGCAGTACAAAGTCTGTAATCCGGACGTCCATTATCTGGAATGATCTATAATCCGGACCTCAAAGTCACAAACTTACGCATGCGCGTTTAATGCGCGCGTCCGCTACACATGCGCGTAAAGCGTTTATCCATGCGCGCTTTCGATAGTGAAGAAAGTGACAGAGAGGTTGTTGAAAACGAAAAAATTTCGATTGACAAGTTAGTCGGTATTCTCGACAAGGCAATTACAGGACTTGAACAGTGGAACTTTGTAACTGAACAAAAAATCATGTATGTTTATAGAATTAAAAAGAAAGTATCAGCACAAAAAACGAAGCAACTTGAAAAACTTACATTGAAAGAAATGTTTAATAAAGTAAACAAATAAATATTAAGCTTTTCTTTTTGAAAATTTTGATAGCCTTTAGATCATAATTGCTCTTTATTTCATAAATTACGGCTTCATATTGTATAATTTATGTATGCCATCTTACCAGATTTAAACTGATGATCTATAATCCGGAAAAACCCCTAATCCGGAATCGCTGAAGTCCCGACGAGTCCAGATTCCGGACTTTGTACTGTATTAAAAATGCTGAAATAAATCTAATAAAAATGAATAATTTTCGAGGCATTTTTTTGAAAAATTTTATTTACTGTTTCTTCTTTATTGTATAAAACATTCGCTTGCTTTATGCACCATAACAAAAATGCAATAATGCAAAGTAATGTGTTGCAGTTCTTGTTCCTTATCCTTTTCTTAATAAAGTACTACAGACTTATATACTTATTGAAGAGCGGATGAAAAGTACCTTGGTTGATTGAAACGATTGAAACCAATGCTGTGGAAACTCAGTTATTCATCAGCTTTATGAGGCAGTTCTGTAAAGAGAATAAATCTTCCCCACCTCCCCTCAAAAAAAAAGTTATGAAAAGAAATTAAACCAAGTTGTAGAAAGAAACTTCTATATACTAAATCTTAAACCCGGGCGGCTTACACAAGCTATTCGGGCATTTTCCGAATCTCACAACTGTCCAGAACAACGCCCTCCCGGTGTTCCATGAGGACCGCATGCAGAAATGTGTGTGTAAGGTGCAAAAGAAGATAAATATACAGGAGGTGTTAATAAAAAATGAATACAAAATGCGCTGGATGCAGAGGAGGATTGTATTATTATACTTCTGTGACTGTGGAACGTTATGGAAGTGTTTGGACAGGCTTTATGTGCCTTAGTTATACTGCAAAGAAATGCTGTCAAACCTCTTTATGCGGTCATCTAGATAACACGTTACGTTTTCTTTTCAAAAATACACTGTAGCTAAGATGTTCCAAAGTATTACATTTATTTGCCTATTCATGTTAATCTGTTTCTTCCGACTTTAATCTCTAGGGAATTAACATTACCACGCCGTTTATAAGCTTATGTATTTATTGAAATATTTTTAGGTCATTAAGATTCATTTTTTTGGGAGGGGATTTATTTAGATTCCAAAAATGTATTCACAAAATTTTGAACCTGAATTATCTTATTTTCTGCATTCCTATGAGCAAGTTAACATCCTAAGAAATTTTTTATCTGTTCACGTCCCACCACCTGTATGCCTTCTTTCGTCTTCATGTTTCCCTCTTCCCATATGTAATACGATAACGAGCTAGTTTTCCTTCTAAGATTTTCAACGAAGATAGCTCTGCTCTTTCATGTAACCTTAAAGTAGTTTGCCGTAATTTGAATAATCCTAATTCAAAGAAAATTTAATGTGAGGGATGCCGTTTGAAGTAACAAATCTAAATCTCTTTCCTGAGCTCTTGCCTGCACTTGAAAGTCCTTAGTACTAAGCGCCCAGATTGCTCTATCTTTTATCGTTCAACAGAAATGCTACCGAACGAATTAATTTAGTTATCGGTATAAAGATGCAAGATACCAAATTTTAAGAAGGATTTGAGTAAAAAAAGTAAAAATTATATATATAGAGACAAACGAAATATTTTTTTTTCCTTTCCAGTTTTTTTTTTAACTTCTTTATGTGGAAGTATTGTAATCACAAAAAATTCCAGGTACCATATTTCAACGAAAATATCCATTTTGGCCGCTAATTAATGCAATTTAACGATGTTTTTGCGTGATATTTGTACATAAGAACAGAATAAAACACTCTTTTTCTTCCAAAAAACTAAACTGCTGTAAAATGAATTCTGAAGAGAATTTTTCGTGGCGTTTGTATGTACGTGCGTATGTATGTATGTATGTACCTCTCATAATTCAAAAACGAGTAGCCTCGGAACGTTGAAATTTTATACATAGGACAGCCATAGGATGTAGTTGTGCACCTCCCTTTTTGGTGGCAATCGGTCGCACCAAAAGTAAATAAATATATATATATACATATACCCACTCTGTTTCTCGGCTGAATGAGCTCTGTTTTTTTATTCTTATATGTTGGTAAATTTTGCATTTTTTTGCTTTAAACATGATTGAATTATGTTTTCCTTATCTTCTGGTTAAGGTTTTATGCCTTTAAGTTAACCTTTAGCAATATTTGTAGAATTATCAATAATTTAATAGTTGTTTAAGTGCGGCTAAGCCTAAAGATTTTACCATAGCAGCCATATTTGTTTATATTTGAATGTTAGCAGAATAGTGGATTTATTGTCATTCTAAAGAAACTAAGCTTCGCAACAACTGTTTCTTTTTCATTTGTTTAGTTTCTTTTATAAGTTGCAATAACTAATTCCGTTAGCATCAAAGAGTATTAATTCTAGAGGTAAGTGATATTCCGCTTCGTTATTAATACACCCACGTTTTATTTACAATATAATACAATGGTTACAAGCATTATTATTAGGCACACGCCTTCATTATTATTAGGCTTAACACCTTCGTTCTTCCATCAAACTAAAATTATGTTATAGAATATCAACAGAGACAAGATGTTCGCAGCGCCACCTAACGGCGCCAACTATCAATTTATAACATACGTCGTTTTAGATTTATTATAGTATTTGAATAGAACATGTGGCAATATATTACATATAAATTATATAATTTTTGTGCATTCCGAGTTATAAAATGAATGAGATGTACGCTGTTAAGTGAACCTAGTGCTAGAATGTCGCTATGGTCAATAAATACAGTGAATTTTAATTTTAGAGTGCATTTATTCTATTGTGGTTTGTGAGTTATCGACGAAGTAGATTTAATTCAATTCAATACGTTTAAATGAAATGCAAGAAAAAATGCGTATAATTTAATATTCCGTGCAAGGAAGTCATGTGGTGTACACATAAGATTATTTATTTTAAGTAGAAATTGCTTTAAAGAATGACAGACTCAGCAAGGTTACATATGAAGTTTATTAAGCTGATTTTTATTTAAAATTAAAAATTAATTATAGAAGCAGATGTAATACAATGTATCTGTAAGAAAGTACCACATACGCACAAATCAGGTTATACCACAAAAAAAAAAAGTTTCCCATATGAGGTACGGGAAAAATTGATAAGCGGTTAATCAATCCGACGGGAGCTTAATATCGAGGTTTGACTACATAACTGAATTGTTAACAAGTTTCCTAACATGGAAATCTAAGAAAGAGACAAAAAAGAAATTAAAATTTCTCTTTTAATTTACTGTCATTAACTAGCCCTCTGCACAGAAAGCAGCATAATCGCTTAACAGATCAACGCTTCAACAGATCTGGATACTTTAGTTACGAAGTTGATAGATCTAAATTCTGAACACTGTTCAGTATTTAAATTAAGGTATTACATTAAGAAATCCATAAACTTTACTCACCTCTGTGATTCTTTCATGCACGATTTCAAGTACCTCAGCTCACTGAAAACTTCTTGTGTAATTCTAAGATCTTTCGATGGAAGCAATCTGGAAATTTCTTCGTACAAAATTTGTTGCTTCTCCGGAAATCTAGCCAAATTATACAGCATGTAACCAACAGAATGTGATGTCTGCAAGAATATAATTCAAAATAGATTGCATATTAGTAATATCCGAGATGCATTATGAAATAATGCGAATCGCAACTAGAAACAACTAGAAATAATACGGATCACAAATTATCTCAAATCAAAATCTGAATCCGAATCCTAGAATTTCTTGAATCCATCATAGAAGAAGAAAAATAAACTTTGGTTTTATCGAAACAAAATCTCCCATAACTGGCAGCCAATTGACCGCTGATGTCAAAATAATGTCACTTTTGAAAGTCTAGATTTAAATCTGAAGTGCATGAGATAAAAATTATGTAATAGGCTAACAATATGAAGTCTTAAATGTAGAAAATGTTGTGTTTCATTTCTGCTGCCTGACGTAACGAGTCTTATGCTACCAATGAACGAAGTAGATATCCATAATATAAAGATGAATTATTGATTCATTTTGTCTGAATGAATGTGGGAACTAGTTCATGACTTTCAAAGGGAAAGAGGTTTCATTTTTTTCAAAAAAATTCACCTTCAAAGACGTCATATTTATTTTGTATTTTGCCTGGAAAGATGTAATGAACATTCCTTTACATTATTAGAGCAAATTGCGGTCTATGTTCATTTTGATAAATGAGAGATCGAGTGACGAAAATTCTCCCGGCCTTGAAACACGTCCGGGCCTTGGATATTTGTCATACGTTCGGAGAAGTTTGGTGTGACTGAAGAGGAGTTGCGTTTTTGAGTGAAATGTGCACAATTATACTCCCGTCAAACTTCCTTAAGATTAGGAAGAAATAATCTAGCATATGCTGGAAATTGAGAAAGGATGAGCAGAAGGACGGGGAACAAAAAGATGACAACGATATGCAAAGCAAGAAAGTTAAATGGTAAGAAGGCGACGAAGGTTTACAGATTTTCATATAATTTGCCTACCAATGCTCATCTCTGTCAGCATATGCTCTTATGAAGATTAATTTTTTTATGTAACGAATTTTTAGAACTTTTGAAAAAATCCTGTAACCACCTTTTGACTTTTGAATGTTAGCGCTGATTCATCACTCTCATCGTAAGTAAAGTTAGTATTACTTTAAAACTGCGTGGCATCCCGTTGTCATCCTAAGCCTCTATACTAAAACGATTAGCTAAGAAAAAGTGTTCTAATTTTAGATAAATTAATTTTGACTGTCGCTAAGAAATGGATTCTTTCGCCTTTAATTTGTTTTTTAGTTGTAACTCGACAGGAGTGGTCGAATTATGTTGTCGAATTTTAAATCTGGGTTGGCCTCTGACTACAATCTGAATTGATTGAAGTCAGAGAGGGTAGATTATGCATATGTAAATGGTTTATTTATGTATATTTGTAATGAGTGCATTAATGCATGGGCGTAATAATGTAAGCACATTCATATTATATATAGATTATTGTACAGCGTATTAAGAATAGTGTACTGTATAGCAAATTGTGTATAGCTTGAGTACAGTGCAATGATCAATGCAATGCATATTACTTCTGTAACAGTGTGTTAACGTGTGATGTAATCAGGAGAATGTTTAACTCCGCATGCAGAAAAATCTATGGCCATGTAAAAAATCCATGGCCATGTAATGTCTCAATTTCGGAGTGTAACTTGAGATGGTTGCGGGACCTCGGAGGACCGATTAGTCTATGCAAGCTGCCCGGGTGTCCTAACCTATCGATACTAATGCTCACTTGTCTGACCTGTAGTCAGTCCAAGCCCAAGCCCACGAAATTCCTTGTGGCAGGGAGCGCATGATACGACCATCGTTGGCAACAGCCTTGAACATCTTCCAGGTGACTGCGATTTAGCTCAGTTCGTACCCCAATTTTGATAGAGAGCAGCCCGGAGAGACAGGTCCGAGGGTCTTTCACACCTCTTCTCCTACCACCAATCTCTCGCGAGGACTTTCGGCTCGCCGCATATTTAGAGTGCCTCCATGCCGCACGGACATTATACATTTACAAACATCCGTGCCTTCTCCAGGATTCGAACCCACGCCCTTCTGCACGCCAATCAGCAATGCTAACCACTGTACCGGTTGGGCGGCTAGTCACGGTCATTCATTAGCCAATTTTCCTTTTTTTAAAATGTTCTATATTCCTATTGCTTTAGTTTCTACCAGAATGGGTATATGAGAGGAGTGTTAAAATGTAAAAATATAGTTAAGTTATAAGGTATTTCTCCCACTTTCCTAGCATCCTTCGTGGTGTAGTGGTTCTGCACGCTGGGCCGGTATTCCAGAGGTCCGTGGTTCGATTCCCGGCGAAGACGGTTGCATATTTTCCTCTTTTCTGCTTCCAATTAACCTAATGACTCTACAAGTGGCGCCCGAACTAAAAGGGTTGTGGATGATGATTCTCCACACCCGGGATTTGGCGACTAGGTCCCCTAAAACCCTAGTCGCCCTTTAAAAAGGGGAGTATATAAGGTATTTCTCCCACTTCCCTAGCGTGCCTTCGCGGTGTTACGGTAGCACGCTGGGCCGGTATTTCCAGCGGTCCGTGGTTCGATTCCCAGCGAAGGCGGTTGCATATTTTTCATCTTTTCTGCTTCCAATTGACCTAATGACTCTACAAAGTTAAAAATGAATGTATTAGTATCGGTCGTCAGTTTTCAAATCAGGTCAGATCCATACTTTTCAAAGCTGTAGCCGATGCGAGAGGAAAACGTCTGACGTGGAAAATCCCCTTTTGGGTTATTCCGCATTAGGTAAGCAGTTCAACGTGCCAAGTGTTAGGCTAGAATTTAACTTGTAATCGTACATATATGTTTCATGTGTTCTGTTATATTTGCAAACAGCTGAAGAATACTAGCAGTTTCCATGGAGAAACTCCAAGACTAGACAGTATAGATAAATAAAATTTTCCAAGACACAAAATCGTCCGAAAAAGTATTTTTCTCTTTAAACTCTGAGTTTACGTCACAAACTCTGTGAGCATTAAACTGGCTTAAAACCTCCCTTTCTGGAAAAAAAAAAAAAAAAAAAAAAAATCTGAAATGTTTCCGATTTTAAATTACGTCCAAAGGGGCGTTTTTTAACATTTTGTGTGTTACCTTTCTTATTAAATATCATGTTCCTCGCACTTAAACCATAAGATCCAGTGCAACAGCAATATCGCAAAATAGTTTTAAAACGAGCATATCTTTAGAATTTCCGATACAGAGACTCACGCGCTGGAGATAAAAATGTTTTTTCTGCACAACGTTGCCATTGCTCGCTTTGAAATCCTTGAGTTTGTTAATCAAAAATTCGTCAAAGTTTTAAAAAATAGGAAATCGATCATAAAACAATAACTTTAGCTCTGCCTATATATCTCAAACCACATTACAAAGACGTACTGTAAATTCCCCAAGAATTAAAGTCAGCGAATGTTTAAGAATCAGTAAGACAATATCTTCAAACATAACTACGATCAGTAATGGAAAAATGGGGTGTATTTATCATAGTAACGTACTCCTCACAGTCTCCAGACATCAGTATCATTGAAAATATATAATATGTGCTCTATGCTCGAAAACACTGTGCAATAACATAAAATAATAAGCAGAGTTAATATGAAATGTGTTCTGCAGGATAACGGGTTCCAAATATCTATGGATACAGAAAACGTTTAATCGAATTTCGGTCACGCAATTCGGAACGCAATAAATTATTTAAACATCTTTATTTATTGAAAATAACAGAAGTATTTTTAGTGCTTTCTTAATTTTTCGAAGTAAAAACCTGTTTATATTTAGTTTAAGTGCTACATTCAAGAGTGTTTATTTTCAGTTTTTTGTGTTATTGCGAGAAAAGAAACTATTCAATTCATTAAATATGCGAAACAAAAATATTTTTTATCTTTATTAGTTATTATTTATTTGCTTTTAGAATTACATTTATAAATAAAAAGTTGAGTGTGTTCTTAATTTTTTTGAAGCCTTGTATTCGATATTTTGGAGTCACTATATTCGACAGCGAAATTTTTAGTGTAAATTCCAAGCTGTGATTGTTTTGCTAATTTTAATTGCTTAACTTCAATACAACCTCACGAGTTTTGCAGTTTTATCTCATGATAAAATTACTGTCCTACTTATAATTAATAATTTTTATAGGAAGGCTCTATAATTTCCAAACAATTAAAAATCCCTGCAGTGAGTTGCATTTAGAGAAAAGATATTATGAAGTTTGTCGTTTTAACCATTAAATTAAACTAAACTAAATGGCGTAACAGCCCTAATGGGCCAAGGCCTGCAGTGTCCGAAATCTGCTTTCTTGACTGTGGGCCCCGGGGTGCGTAAGCAAGTGCCCTGAACAAGTGGTCCTGCGACAAGCTGACATCCCCATTCCATTCCATTGACGGAAGACGCGAGCACTGTACCTTTACCATAGGGTGAATCAGTTCAGCACCGCGCCCCCCAAGATCTAGAGCAGCCAAAGAGACCACACGAGAGCCGCGCACAGAGAGACCAAGCCCAACGCCGGATCCACCCAGGGCAGTTCAACGAACCAAAGGCCCATAGGGGACCCACACCCCGTCGCCCAGGCGTCAGATTTATAAAAGAAATATTTACATGGCCAAACAAAGGCAGAGAGAGATACAATTAAGTACATTAACAATATATCAATTAGTCCCCAAGCGAACTTAGTACTCATTTGATCGACCCAAGGGTTGGAAATCAAGGGATGAAAGGCCGAGTCGACCTTGCCCAGCCCTGGAATATACCGTTAAATTAGTTTTATATTTATTTTCTTACCGTATCAATACCGGCCATGAGCATATCTGCAACAGTTACCATTGCCCCTGAAACATCTAATCCTTTAGTGGCAAGCAGTGCTTGAAGTAAAGTTAATTCTTTATCTTCATTTCCTTCTTTTTTCTTTAGCTCTTCCATAGCACGGTTTATGTACTTAAAAGCAATTCTGAAATACAATATTAAAATTTAAACTGCTAAATTGATCCATTTAAAAAAAGTCTTAATTTGTACTTAAAATATAAATTTATGAGCTAATTTGTAGTATATTTTAAAGAATATCTTGTTAATCTTTCATAACTATAACTATTGTTTCGAATTTCATGTATATGTAAATTGTACTCCTCCTTGTATAATGTAACATGAAAACCCTCAAGCGAGAGCAGCATCGCCGGAGAAAAAGGATTACGGAGTAGGTACATTTTACATTGGGATAAATCACTACCTTGCCAAATTGACGATTCATTTTTTGGTGATTAATTTTGTAGCCAAATTTATTAAAAAATCGCTAAAAATCGCCCACCCTGGCTGATATTGGTGACATTTTTGATCCAACCCCAGTGTAACTGCAGTTGGTCCGATCCAAAGGAGAATGTGGCACCGGTAGCGGATACTGTGTTCTACTTGGGAACCAGATTTTAAAGACCTGGGAAAGAAAGCTTAACCACCACAACTCAGTTTTTCAGGCTGAACTAATTGCATTAAAAGCTGCACTTGTCTACGCACTGGAAAATTACTATTCCAGTATATATTCAGACTCAGCCTCTAGCCTCCAGGCAATCCAAGGCAAATGTAGTAAAAATCCACTCGTCAGGGCCATACAAATACTCTTACTAAGAACACCTAAATACTATAGGCCTGAACTCCAGTGGGTACCTGCCCACACTCGGAATACTGGGTAATGAAATTGCAGATGCAATAGCCAAAAGAGCAGCAACTGGACCCCCACGTTCGCACACTTGACGTGCCTCTCCAGGCTGCTTCGTTCTTAAAAGCTGAGCTCGAGAGAGAATTACTCAAACGTTGGCAACATCTGTGGGAGACAGAAACCACCGGCAGAAGAGTTTACAGATTTTTTCTAAAAGTCTGCCGGCTTCTAAAATCTGGCTCGTCTCACTTCACTCAGTATCTAACAGGACATGGTCCCTTCATGACTTACCTGCATCGCTTCAGACGACGCGAAAACGAGCATTGCTCATGTGGGATGGTAGGAGATCCGGACCACTATCTGTTCGCTTGCAGAGAGACCGCTAAATATCATCTTAGGCAACTAGTAGCAAACCACATCCATGCATGGGCCGAAGCTACTTCAAAAAATCGCAATGCATTGAAACGCATATGCGATTGCATAAACATTGCACGCATAATCTCAGACAGGCTGGAGTAATTCTCAGCCACCATCCTCGTCACCAGCACAGCCCCTGTATGCTCTGTACCTGTAGCGAACTAATTTTATCTTAAATTAGCTTATTCGGCTTTTCTTATTCCCTGTATATATTTATCTTCTTGAACTGTAAACCTTGAACTATGTATTTTGCCTTATTTTATGTATTGTTTCCACTGTTTTGCCTTTTTTTTTTTTTTTGCATTGTTTTACTTTCTAGTATTTTACTTCTTATTACTTTTAGTATTTGTAACCACCTATCCATTACTCTCTAAATATGTAACTAGAATTGTTCTTCACGCCCGCAATGCACCCTTCTTCCATCATGCACTATCGTCTTCGTCCAGCATTTGTTTGCACTGCCCCCAGCAGTCGTCTTGAGCACAATATGTATTTATGAGTGTGTCTTTTGTTCAAGTTATTTCCGTCAGCGGGGCTACCTGGCCGATATGCTAACTACCCAGTGGACCGGCTGCCTCGCTGTCGGTGGAAAGAAAGAAAGGTCCGATCCTTATTGTAACTGTAACTGTTTGGGGCTCCTAGTAATTCCGAGACATTTAAGGGACTGGAAATTTTCCGGCGAACGGGGGAAAACTATATAAGATCAGCGACAGCATCAGTTTTCGGATTAATTCTAAGATGAGTTCAAAGTATCGAGAGATCACTGCGTGAGCTTACACATCAAGGTCTTTAATATTGTTTAGTATTGAACTTTCATAGTATTTTGAAGTTGTAACTACTGATTGTGCTCTGGCATACTGGGAAGAGCTGTACGAAAACTATTGCTATAACTGGTTCTGTGTGCATTCAGTCCACTACGAACCCTTACACAAGTAAGTAACAATATTATTTTGAAGGAAGACTATACAGGCCTGTCAAGACAGCTGCCAGGTTAACATGTTATTTAAAGGATCACTTCCATGGATGCAACGCTCATTAACATCCGAGTTTAGACGCTGGATTTCCAGAATTCCAGCAGAACACTTGAGCTGTCCTCTGTCTCACATACATTACAATAGTATTAATAATCTGCTTTTAAAATAATAATGTCAACTTCCGGCTTTAGATAAGCTCAAATCCCCGTTTGTATTGGATACATTTGGATTCGCTTAACAGCAATGGGGTGATTAAGACACAATAACACGCCGAATAAATACTAATCCAGAAGTCAAACAACAAAACTTCGGACTTGTCAAAAATAAAAACTGCGATCAAATCTTCGCAAATCATTTCAGGGCAACTTAAAACATTCACTTATCCCGTCTGTTGCGAATTGTGCCAGATTATATGCTCTTACCAAAATTCATAAAAGTGGTATTCCTTTCCGACCTATTGTATCAAATTTAGGTACTGCCTCGTATCCATTAGCTAAATATTTAGTTTCTAGATTTTCAACTCTATTAGACAATAACATTTACACCATAGAAAATTCAATAGAGTTTGTAAAAAAAAGTTAAAAACATTTCTCCTAGTAGTTTACTCATGGTTTCTTTTGATGTAAAATAATTATTCACCAATGTCCCAGTGGAGGGTGCATTAAGATGTCTAGAAACCAGACTTCGCGAATTTCATTTCTCTTGCATCGAAATTGATGAGCTAATCTCTCTCACTCAACTCTGTTTGAAACAAACACATTTTGTTTTCCAAAATAAATATTACAAGCAAACTGAGGGATTAGCCATGGGAAGCCCCCTCAGTCCCATCCTGGCTGATATCTACATGCATTATTATGAATCAAAATTGTTTGAAACTTTAAACTTCCCGGCATGGTTCCGCTACGTAGACGATACTTTTACCCTGTTTGAAGGTAATAAAGATGATTTAAATAAAGTTCTTTCAACAATGAATTCTATTGATCCTGCTATTCAGTTCACTTTTGAACTTGAGACTTGCAATTCTCTTCCGTTTTTCTCGACATTCTGGTCACACGTAACACATCCAACTTCAGTACTACGGTTTACCGTAAACCTTCATCGGTTTGCCTTCCACCACACTTTAAATCATGTCATCCGACTAAACAAAAGTTAGCTTCATTTTATTCCTATGTTTTCCGTGCTCTTCAAGTTTGCTCCTCCAAACTAGCCCTTTGATGAAGAACTAAATTATTTAAAGCAATAGCTATTGACAGGGGCTTTCCACCCAACATTATTAATCAAGCAGTTAAAAAATTCTCATCTCAACACACTAAAAGGCACACTCTTGTTTTAGGAGATTATAAAAATTCTGTTGTCATTCCCTTCTTTCCATCAATTAGCTATAAAGTTGCACATATTTTGCAGAAATTTAACTTTCGGGTTGTTTATTCTCCCATCAATAAAATTCCGAGTTCCGCAATTTAAGGACCCCATTCCGGATATGAATTCCTGGGGTATTTATAGGATTCCTTGCCAGTGTGGTTTAATTTACATTGGCCAAACTAAGAGAGCCTTAAAATTTCGCGTCAAGGAACATGAGGCATATGTTAGAAAAAAGGAAACACAGAAGTCTTCTGTTGCGCAACATTGTTGGTCCGAAAATCACACTTTAAATTTTTCTGCTGCCAAAATTATTCAAAAAACATCTTCCATTGGAGAACTGGATTTTCTAGAGGCATTTCACATTCATAAAAATCTTTCTGTTCTAGTTAACGATCCTAATTCCAATCCAAATTTCCCTTCGGCCTTTAAAGAAATTATGTTTTAGTTCTGGTTTCACCAACAGATGGCGCCACTTGCTTATTCTTGTCCAGGCTTTCTTATCTTATCTAATCATTATTTCCTATCTTGTTCATTTGCGGTTTTGCAGCTGAAGATGATGGTTCGGTAAAACCATCGAAACTAGTCCTGTGAAAATTTTGTAAATATAACGCTGATTTTTGTTGTTTGACTTCTGGATTAGCAATGGGGTGGTAAACCTCATCTTTTAGACAACGCGTGTATAACCTTCAGCTGATGGCAGGGCCAATGAGCTAATATATCTGGCATCCTAGAGATATTCTGTGCATATGGATGATACATATTTACTAATTTGTACATTATGTACAAAGGAGCAGGCTGTGGCAAGTTAAATAATGGGTACCACAATTCTTGATTCTACCGCTCTGAAGAGTGTAGCGATCCTTATGTATTTCTAAATTTGTAATAATATGCTTTAGTGAGGATAATTATTACAAATAGTTACTTCAGCTTACTTTGAGACTTTGGTCTCTAAAATTTTCTGATTACTAATTTAATGCAGTGGTAAACTAGATTGCTTTCTAATATAAAAAGCTGAAGTGGTTGTAATTACTCTGCATCATAGTGGGTGTTTGCTTGTTACACTTTTGTAAGAAACAATTGTTTCCTTTTCAGAAGTTTATACATCTATATTTATACTGTATGGTGAAGAGATCCCTTTGAGATCTTGAAGTAGTCATTTAAAATTTTAATTAAATTAGAAATTTGGGAGCAAATCCTTCGTGTTTACTTTTAGAACAAAAGAAAACTATCCAGCATGAAGCGTATCATTCTGTTTATTTTACTGCGAGAAACATACATCAGTTTGCTTCGTTTTGTGTGTGTCATTGTGTTAGAATAAGAAGTGAATAAGCTCTTTATTGCATGAGATTTTCCTGGTTAAAAATGCTAAAAGTAATTTATAATTTTCTATGCAATTCAATTGAAATTTAGTTCTCTTACTGCGTGAAGACGTCGCATTCCATCGTGAATTTCTTCCATGTTGGAGTGGGAAAATATTTCCAAAACTGTATATTGCCTGAAAATGCTTCCAGTTTGTTCATACAGTCGAACTGTGTCTGTACAGAATTGATCATTTTCATGCCGTCGGAATCTGGTGGTAAATTTGTTTCTAAGCAGCCAAGTCTGGTATCCAATCCAACAAATGCAACAACTGTTGAAAATCAAATGCATTAAATAAATATGAATGATAATTGTTCAACAGCTACAAATAAGTACATTGTATTAAGTGGCTCGAGCAGGGGTTCTTAACCAGGGGGGTTAAAGCGGTCAACCTATTAGTTAGCTGTTTAGTATTTAGTTTTAGCTTATGAGTATTAATAACTACTTTTATTCAAGTTTTAATATCTATCAACATTTTCTATCCCTTTACTTTCTATACTATCTTTCCTATACAACATTTTCTATACTTGTTACTTTCTATACTATCTTTCCTATACTTGTTACTTTCTATACTCTCTTTCCTATACAACATTTTCTATACTGTTGTTTAATTAATAAAACAGGTTAAAAATCTAAATCTAAATAAATGTATATTTATTTTTCACGTTATGGAAATGATGGGGTAAGTGAACCTCAAACAATAGTGAAAGAGGTGCTTGGGGCGAAAAAGGTTAAGAACCTCTGAGCTAGAGAATTCAAATTTCAGTTTTCTATTTCAAATATTTCATTAAAATAATCTCTTTTTCTCTTGTCACGACCAAATAAAATATAAGTTTTATTGTGCAAGTGTATGATATTAAATATTCATACATAGCATCAATGTAATCAACCACGAGACGTTTAAAATTTAGACATATTCCGAAGAAACGAAGAATATACTGTTCTTAGAAGCTGTGGCTTAAGAGACTTGATAATTAGGTGAGGAATGTACAAAACTAAGTTCATAGTTTCCCTGAGTCTTTCATTAATTGTATTTCAAATTTGTTTTTCAATTATCATTCAGATATCAACACTCAGAACTAGTAATGAAATCTGGCTTTATACTCGTAATTCAACAAAATCTCATTGTTGAGGGACGTGAAAGTAAAATTTAAATAACAGTATCTAAACAAATTAATTGAAGAAATGGATGGAAGAGAGGCAATTTTCTTCTTTGGTAAACAATACGTGATCGAAACAGTTTCTTTTGATACTTAAAAGCTCAAGAAGACTGTTATCTCTAAATGCAAGCTTTAGTTTTATATTCATTTGGCTCCTCTCGAAAAACTGCTGCCAAACAGCATTCTTAAATGTTCTGTTGCTACGTTGTATGCGTCTCACAGCAAACAAGAAACAAAAGGAAATTTTATTAAATCGTACTCTTGTTAGTGTTACTTATCCTCACTTGTCTGACAATAACATCAGCCCAAGCCCACGAAATTCCCCGTGGCAAGGAGCACTTTTGTCGTTGGTAACAGCTTTGAGCACCATACAGGCAAAGAATATGTGTTGACGTTCTTTGGTACAGGTGACATTGCGATTTTGCCCAGTTCCGTCCCAAATTTTGATGGAGTTGCCCCCGGGGGGGGAGAACTGGTCCGATGGTCTCCCCTCCTCTACCCTTCCACCAAACCACACTAGAGGACTTTCGGCTTGCGGCATATTTATAGTGCCGCCGTGCCACATTGACAGTATACATTTCCAAACATCCATGCCTTCTCTGGCCTTCGAACCTAAGCCCTTCGGCAAGGCAGTCAGCGATGCTAACCACTATACCAGTTGGGCGGCAAACGTGCTTTTAGACCATCGCACTTCCAGACTAACGTTCCGTCTCGGTTGCATGTGATTTACTGTCTTTTCGCATAAGAAACATCTTTTGAATATGCGCAAATTTTCTGATGAAGTTATTAATGTCTAGGTGTAAAATGTGAAGTTTTGCAGAAAATGAACAATAGAAAAAACTGGTCAATAACTGATTTACAATTTGAACTTTGTAGAAGCACTTCATATACACGTATAAACGAAAACAATGTAAATTAATCCTAATTTACTAAAGTTTACATCCTAGTTTAAAGCAACATATTTACATTCAAGTGCCCACTTGTATAGTTCTCCAAGAAGGCCAGGAATTTCTTTGTTAGAATCTCTTGTTTCATATATCTTTTGAACGAAATCTCTTGCCACATCTTCCATGGCTCCCAAGTACGCTTGTATAGCTTTTGGCTTCAACAAATGCTTCTGAGTTTTAGAACGTAAATCGTGCCATTCCTTACCTTGCCTGCAAAAAAATAGTTAGTCGTTTTTATTACAAAACTAATAACGACTTCATAATTTATTCATAAATAATTACCCAAAAATATAAGCGCTGCATAAAAGCTTTCTAAGAGATGAGCAAATGGAACAGAGGAAAATAATTACCTTCCCAAAACCATTATAAGTTTTGAAGATTAAAAGTCTAAAATATTATATTTATGTCATTAGAATGAAGTACGTAAAATGTACGTTAAAGGAATAGATCATAGATACTATGCATTCATACATTTTTCTGCTAGCGTTAATAATCATATCAGAGAGATAGCATATCTAACTTGGAGTAGTCTGACCAAACGGATACTTATTAAATAACTCTCAAATATTTGTTAATTTTTAAACCTGCAAGAACTCCTCTGCTTATTAAGTATAAAATTAGAGATAGTTATCTAATAAAGATTTAAAGTTAATTATTACTGCTATTTGGTTATATATATTATACCACAGTTTCCCAATTTTTTTCCTGGCTTCTGCCATCTTTTCGAGGATTATTTTGTTAAGCGCCTCCCTATCATTGCAATAACGATATATTAAATGTTTGTTGAATATAACCCGTAAACACTGATTTAAAACGTGTAAAACATTTTAGCCGTTTATTTCATATACATTGTATCAGACTTGTAGTTAAAACTTTCACGCAGTTCTGAAACAGAATAATAACGATAAAAGATTTCTAAACCCATTTACAATAATATACACATTATACCTAGACTTCTGCCTCAATATGGGGAGTGATTACTATTGAAAGAAAATGTGACGAGCGAATATACATCTCTTCGTTCAATTTCCAAGTCAAATGGTCTTATTTCAGTTGAAAAGTCACAATTTGTTACGAACACCCACTTTGAGAAACTATATCTTATACTTTAACTGATGCAAATGCATGCATAAACACCTTCAGGTTTGATATATTGTACTTTGACCAATATCGAAACAATCAGCTTCTTTGTTTTCTTGCATTAAAAAGAAAATCTCAAACAAAGTGTTTATGTTTAAAAAATATTTAAAATTAAATTGTTGCCGTTTATGTCGGTTAGCTAAATGAAGTTTATCCATCTTATACCGACCTAAGATAAATTAATGAAAACATAAATGGTTACAATAAAATAGTTTTTATTTCATATAGCAGGTCAATGTGTTTAAATAATTGCTTGATCTCAAAGGCTATGATCAATAATTCTGCATTATGACAATAGTACAAAAAATATATATAAATTGTAACTAAATCGTGTTATTATCGGATATTACACAAACTAATGGGATTTAGGTGGAAGGATTATAACATAAATTAAAAAGAAAATGAAGTATAATTCGCAAAATTTTGAGCATTTTGCTTTTTTATATCTTTTCTGAGAAATCAAATAACAATGTATGCATTTTTGTCAGGAAAATTTACCTTTTACGCTATAAAAGAACTGTTTTTAACAAAAATATTTAGCGAATTTTCTTTAAGGCGGCCATCTACAGTTCGGGCTAATTTAAATTTGTAGATATGGTCGGTGAAAAAATAATGATAAATATTTGCGTTTACTTATTTATGACTGTATTAAAATTTGGTAAAGAAGTTTACCATTTCATGAAAATTTTGTTATTATTTTTTTGTTATTTAAGACGCTTCTATAATGTGAAGTATATAACTATGAACAAAGATTACGAAAATAAAGGCCTGGCCTTTATTTTCGCTTATATATGACATGATATGAATGGTTTGGAACCTGGCGTTGGCGTAGTAGATGCCTAGCGAAGAAAGTTGGCAAAGCAGACATAGTCAGATTCAAGATAATTTTGTTATTGAGGAAACCAATTCTGGATCCGCAAATTGTGGTTCACATACGAAGGAGCGTCTTATGCTCCCTACATTTTTGTTATCTCGCCTCATATTCAGTGAACAAAGAAGGTAGCCACTAAGCGTCTGGACAGGAAGAAAGCTTAAGCGAAAAAGTGTCCCAGAAACTCAGATGAAGAAGGGATGGAGTCGAAAGAAGTTCGAGTTAAAAAAGTTTTGGTTTACAATTTAGTGACTGGGCAAGAGGCATCTACATTAAGCGTTACTTACAACCGCATGATTAATTTGAAAGTCCGCAAATTAAATAAAGAATAAAAGAGGTTATAACCAAGTAAAATTAGAAGTTTGCTTTCATATTTTTTATCATAATATATATATTCCACGAGTATATATACTTTGGTTCTGTCCATTGCAATAAAAAAAGGAGGTGCAGAACTAGATGTTATAGCAGTCCCATTACAAAATTTCAACTTGCTACTGCTAACCATTTTTGAGTTATAGGGAGGTAGAAGTACCGTACGTACATACTTCTGTCTGAACATATATACTGAATGTACGTGCGGACATCGCGAAAAAAAAACATTTTTAATTCCTTTTAAGTCCATTTTACAATCCGTTTCGGAAAAAAGAGTCCTTTATTCTGTTCGTACGTACAGGTGACTCGCAAAAAAATTCCTCCAAATGGATTGGTGAACGGTGAAATTGGATATTTACGTTAAAATTCCGTTCCGTAGAAACTTTTCGCGATTACAGTATTTCCTTTACATTGTACAAGGAAGTAAAAAAACCTTTTAAACTACCAGAATTTTTTTCACCTAGTTCATACGAGTTGTGAAGTTCGAGAAAAACTAGTGTACACATGGTACACTTAAAACGAACCGACTGAAGTAACATTAGTTTCCGAAAAGAAAATACTAAAGGTGTAAAAAGAAGCTTCTTTTAAGACCAACTGAGAAGTACAGAATGAGTAAACTAGTTAAAACTGAAAGTGTGGAGAAAATGAAAACAAATCAGGAGAGTAGCTATAATATAAAAATCTGATGTACACCACATGTACACCACATGACACAAGTACACCACATGACTTCCTTGTACGGAATATTAAATTATACGCATTTTTTTTTCATTTCATTTAAACTTATTGGATTGAATTAAATCTACTTCGTCGACAGCGCATAAACCACAATAGAATAAATGCATTCTTTAAAATCCACTTTGTTTACCATAGCGACACTCTGCGCTAGGTTCACTTACAGTATTATATTCGGTAAACTCAGAATGCACAAAATTTAATCATTAAAGAATAGAATTATCTAATCGTTGCACATGTTCTATTCAAATACTATAATAAAGCAAGAATGATATATAAAAGAAATTAAGCAAACAAAACAAAAAGAAACAGTTTCACAGACGATTAAGTATTCTCATTCAATTAATTCAATTCTCACTTCGCGAGAAAGCAAAAATACATAAAAACTCAAAATATCTACAGTGGTGGCCAAATTTGTGGACACTTTTGGAAATTTTTCTGTTTTTGAACATTGTATGCTTATAGAAAACGTTACGTTTCACAAAATGCAAACTTGTATATATCATTTTAAAGAGAATTTATTAGTAAATTCAATACAAAACACAAAATTCAATTATTTGCAATACAAAAAATGTTAAACGATGATAGTTATCGATATACATTAGATAGTGATGATTGCAGTGAGTTATCAGTACTTAGTAGGGTACCCTTTATTTTTTATTACAGCTTCACATCGACGTTTCATTGAGCTGACAAGAGTTTTAAGCTCTTCTTCGTTATTACATGACGCCAGGAAACAATTATAGCCTCAATTAGTTCCCTTTTATTTGATGGGCGCCTCATTCGGACAAGAGTTTTCAAACGGTGCCACAAATTTTCGATAGGATTGAGGTCAGGACTGTTTCCTGGCCATGACAACAATTTAATGCTCTTTGTACAAAACCACTCTTTCGATATTTTGGCCGTGTGGCAAGGAGCAGAATCCTGCTGAAAAATAAACGAAGCATTGTTGGGAAAGAGATCTCTGATGGAAGGTAGAAGTTTTGGTTCTAGAATAGTGTCAATGTATTTTCTGGCATTCAGTGTCCCATCGATGACATGAAGGCGACCAATACCATCTGCTGACACGCATGACCAAATCATAACACTAACTGGGTTCTTCACAGTTGCTTGAATGCAGTCAGGATGTAGCTCTTCTCCTATTCTACGTCTTACATATTTTCGCCCATCACAACCGAATAACGATATCTTAGTTTCATCACTCCATTTAACTTGTGACCACTGATCATCTGTCCAATTAATGTGTTCCTTTGCCCACTGTAGTCTTTTTGTTCGTTGCTGAAAATTAAGATAAGGCTTTTTCCGTGAAATTCTACCTTTCAGTCCAACATCTGTTAATCTTCTCCTGATTGTTCTTGAACTAACAGAAACGCCAGCATCATTCAGATCACTTCTGATGGCCGCTGATGACATTTCTATCTTGGAGACATAGTCTTTTTATTTTTCTCTCATCAATAGATGTGGTGCACCTTTTTCGGCCTTTTCCTTCTTTGTTTTTTATTGAATTTGTCTCCTGATATCGTAAACAAACTTTCGGACTCCAGATGTAGTCACTGAACCACCCACCTGTCTTGCAATTTCAGCATAGGAAAGACCACTTTCTCGTAACACAATAATATTACATCTCTTTCTAGGTGTCCAATCTACTCTCTTTATTTGATGTCATTGCTTCTTGACTAAATATTAAAAATTTTTACAAAAATTCCTACTTGTAATTGCAGTAGTGTATAAGAAACAGGTCCTCCTTCTACAGAACAAAGCAAAATAATGAATTGTTTCAAGTGTAAACATGATGTCAGCTTCTTCTGGCAGTTACTAACATTTGATTGGGTTCTCAGAACAAGAACAGTGATTGGCCAGGAAAGCTAGACATTACAAACCACTTCATAACTCTGTTTTTTGTTTATATTAAAGTACATATAACTTTTTTTGTATTGCAAATAATTGAATTTTGTGTTTTGTATTGAATTCAGTAACAAATTCTCTTTAAAATGATATATACAAGTTTGCATTTTGCGAAATGTAACATTTTCTATAAGCATACAAAGTTCAAAAATATAAAAATTTACAAAAGTGTCCACAATTTTGGCCACCATTGTATATTAAAAATTACGAAGTAAATCTTAAACAATTATTTCCTCGAAAAAATTCCAGAAAGGATTAAGCAGGATTTAATTCGCTATAATAAATGAAGGCGTTATCTTTGTTGTTGCGAAGCTAAGTTTCACTAGATTGGCAACAAATCC